TCGGTGGGTTGGAATTGTTATTCATGCGGATCATGCTATGGCCATAGAGATTTGCTTCTGCAATTGCTATTTTACTATTTGCACAAGCACAAGGCAAATAGGGCTCATTTACGGATAAATGATAATTGTATTTGATATAAATACACGCATATTTGCATTCATATTCTATGCATAAATCGCTGTTTTATTTCAAAGTACTTTTTTCCCCACAACTATTTATAACCCGCAGTGTTTTAGTGCTAGTCGTCATTGAATGCAGCGCTACGATCAGGTGATAGTGGAAAATAGTTTTAAACAAGCTTTTAAGTGAATAATCAAATATTCACATAAAACATTTCAATACAACCATATTTTTTGCTCATAAATATCATAAATTTACACCCCAAAGCATAGAAACAAAATATCCAATAAATAATGAGGATTTTTTCAATCAATTTCGAAAATTAAATTTTCCCTATTATTTATATGAATTGTTAATTCACACTCATCTCTTTTTTTTTGCTCTTCCAATCGCCATGCTAATGGAGCTGAATTTTAATTCACTGCATAAAAAGAACGAGTTTAGTTGTTTGATTGCATAATTATGCTGTGTGCAGAAAAAAAGCTGATGGCAGGCAACCAATATATAGTTTCAATAGCGTAAATAGTGCATTTTAATCTAATTTCCTCCGCATCAGCGAACGAGGCATTGGCCATTGGCGCGGCACAAAATGCTGGCGCAAAAGCTCATTAACTTTCTCATCGCGGAGCAATTTTCATCATCATGACAATGACATGAGCTGGTAATCCGCTTCAACTTCCACGGCGAGCACACATAAACAGTGCGATGAGAATTTTGCGAAAAGTACAAAATCCTCCATCACAAATGGCAACTATTGTATCTCTTTGCTGTTGTTGCTGTATGAAAAGCTCATATTCTGGCGTCGCAGTGCAGAGTTGGCACGAGCTTTTCATTCTCTACACACCAATTGTTGACACACAGTGCTGTTGCATGTGAGAATGAATTGGGAGGGAAAAGGAGAGCATAAATCCTCCGAAATAATGTCATAATTAAGTGCTACATTAATGCATTAATACCCATGATATAATTCACCCTCGATATGGCCTTAATATCTGGGCAATAAAACCCGCACTCAATGCATTTAAACACACTGAAAATACAGCACAGCCATAACATAATTCTTCGATTCATTGCCTTCCTTTGGCCATGAACTCGACGTAGACAGCAGAAAAATAAGAATTCCGCAGAAGGACTTCATTGTTGAACTCCCAATAAATCTTCCCTCGGAATCCCTGTGAGATGGGCTTTGGATTAAGATTAATTTTCCAGTTGTGCACACTATTAATTTGGCCTCTGGGCTCCGTTTTAACTCTTGCGCCACCCTTTCGTTCAATATCACTAGTTTGTTTCCCTGCGGTGGTCATTTGGCCTTCCGCAGCGTCGTTTTCACTACATCATTCACCCTCACAGGATCTCCGAATGAGGAAGAGAAGTTTGGCAGAAACACATAGCCATTTAGCTGTCTTTCGCAGGATACATTTCTCATGATATGCATTAATTTAGATGCGAATATCACACACGGTTTTCCACCACTTTTTTATTGTGATATTTCAATATGAAGCGAATTCAGAGAGAAAGAGAGAGAGAGATGATTTAATTAAGACCTTTCCACCAGAGTTTCCATTGATAACTTTTCAAAAGAGAAATAAACATACATTTTGAAAAATATTTTTCCACAGAAAGCAGAGAAAGAACAAGAAAGTATCAAAGACAGTTGCTTCAAGAGGCGAAATATCTACTTCATTTTGTCACTTTTTTTCATTCAAAAGTTGCCAGAAAGAGAACTTTTCAGATCATTCAAGCTCTTATTTGATTTTTCAGTACAAAATTGTTCTAGAAAACTAGAATTGGTAAATGTATGTGAAGCACGGACTGATTGCCCCCTTTTCCGACCCTTTGCGTCACTTCGCACCATATTCCTTGGCATGCTAGACCAAATATTGACTAACATGTGATGTGCTGTGGAACTTTAATCACCACTTTAAGGTGGCGCATTTTGTCGAGACGAATCGAGGAGCTTCTGTGGCGCATCTTCCGCTCCCGATCACTTTGGGGGATGTCTTCTGGTCAGAGTCTGGGCAAGAGAGGGACTTGCGGAAGCACACAGAGAATCCTGAGCTATTAATTTGGCAAGAGTGAGAGAGAGCTTTCGGGCACCCGAGGATGGGTTATCACACGTCCGAGCAAAAGGATTCCGTAGGGATTTATTAAGCCATTGTAGTCGCACGGACGTCGCCATTGTGCGGCCAGATATGCAACTCCTTCATACATCTTGCTCAGTCCATGGAGCACAGTTTCTTCTTCCATTGTTCAGTGAGACACACTGAGAAGTCACGCTTCGGTGCATGAATTCAAATCCTGCAACTTTTTCTCTCCTCCCCTGGGACACAATTTGATTAGATCTCACTCTCTCTTTGGACTCATTTGCAGCAATTGAATTGGTGCGGCTGCAAATCTCACCCATAAATACCAAGCATTCTTCCCTCGGTGACGCGCATTTTTAACATCCAGAGACATCATCCAATTGTCATTAATCATATTTGTCGTCTCCTCGCAAGTGAGATTGCTCACACCGATATATTTTCCCCGCGTTCACAACCTTTCAAACAGCACAAACCTCAACAGATAGAGACTTTTTTTTGCGCCACGGAAGAGTGATGACGGAAATTTTTCCGTTTCGACAGTCATTATCGGGTGTGGGAGAGCTCATTTGCTACACTTTCCCCGGCTGTGCTGACTGTTCGAGGGCGGGGCTTTCGAGTGGGCGGGGCTTTAGAGAGAGAGAAAATGTCCATTCGCGCGATGTTCGCCACGTCAATGCATAAAATGATGCTGTAAAATCAATTTTATCACATTTATTGTGTAAAAATTGATAACCCGCGCGCCTCATAAATCATACAAAATGACAGTGATGGGAAAAAATGATGGAAAAACTCCGCCAAAAGGGCTTGATCAGTCTTGAAAGTGAATTAAACAGGGCCTGAGAGTGCTCGCGGGGTAAAATGTCACTAATTTATTATACGATAGTCACATTCGCTCGCCATGCGGAATTTAATCTCATCCTCTTATTCGGATTTACTGAATCAGATAATCCGGTGTGTGCATTGTTGCAACATTTTGTTGCACACTTCCCAAAGACTCTCTCTCTCGAATTGGAACAATGAGAATTGCAGAGGGGGTGAAATATTGTATTTAATCAAATGATAAAAATTCTATTGTTGCCGATACGCCGAATGCATTCAAAACGGGGAACATTTACATGCCAATGCATGGCGATTGCGATGATCCAGCGAGAGAGTACTATGAATTTTTACTATAATTGCCACTGTCTCGACGGAATTGTGTGTTAAATTTCATACATGTTCACCATGATGGTGATGGAAATGAATTCGAGGAAGGGCGATTTTCGCCTGTTTGATCTAATTAATCGCATTGCAATTAATTGCCTATGACGCAAAAGACATCCTTCCAATTCGCTTCTCACTCCCAATTGCCCATGAATAATTGAGAAGCACAGTGAACTTCGCATCTCCTGAGCTCAGGGAAAGGACGAATTATCGAATTAGAAATGTCGCTTTGAACATGTCAGGAATCTCATTACATATTCATAATTATTCTCTTGATTATCACCACAAGGCGCTCAGGGCATGAGCACAGCCCAGACATTGCCAAGTGAAATTGCCCACCCGAAACCCACTCGATTCCCCCGTGTAGAGCCATTGTTTGCGGTCGTATCGGGCCTCTCTTGTGGTCCACCTTTGAGAACATGATTCATGCAGGAGGGCAACATTGAAAGATAATATAAGATTAAATGCACTGCAACATGGGGTGGCTTTTAGGGGTACAATCTTGCAATGTGTCTCTCACATTGAGTGACACCAACAGGGATCGTTATTAAAATTACACCAAACGCCCGGGTTAATCCACTTTGGCCCACACCATTTCGCCCGACAGCACGTCACACGACTGAGAAAATCAATGGTGTGACCAAGAAAGTTCATCCAGAGACAATACTCTTCTCGAGAGCCAGATTGTGGCATTTCACCCACGCCCAACAGCTTCAGCACAACACGACAAATTGTGTAGGACAGTGTGAAGAGACAAATTGCATGCTGCATTCGGAGAAATTGAATCAAAAGTATGACATTTGCAATGTTTCCATACGAATCAAGGGACAGATATTATATTATATTATGGATTATATTATACCACTTGGCGAAAAAGTATGTGTTGCAATAAATTGAGGCATATAAAAAAATTGAAGCTTAGAAAAATTAATTTTATTGCATTTCTAGATTATGTGATTGATTTAAAAACAGATTCTGCTGATATTACTTTTTGATAGAATTTTTAGTTTAACAAGAAAATCTCTTCTAGAAAGCTTTTCAAAGCTGGATTATTAACCTCATAATTTGGCTAGTTTTTCTCTTTGGCATTTTCGGAAAACAAAAACAGAAAATCAAGACAGAAATTTGTCATGAACAAATTCTACGACATTCAGATCAGTTCCTATAATCTGAAATCTAAAGCTTGAAGAGTTTTATTTTCTTAACACAGTAGAAAATGTGATAAAAATTGCTTTCATTTCGAATTGGTCGCAGAAATCCCATCTTAGGATAAGATAGTCGTCGCGATTGCTTATCGTGTTCCTTTTGTTTGGACACACAACTGAATTAATTATGAACGCATAATTGCAAGGCGTTCCCAACAAGTAAAGTTTCCAAACAATTCTATTGCGTCTTCCTTAAACAGAGAATCTGTATAAAAACCACCCCAAACAATTATTCACATTCAGAACAATAAAATGTTACAAACCTATCAAACGAGTGTGAGAAAAATTGTCATTTTCTTCTTCTCGGCCTGGAGATTGGATTTCTTGTCGCAGTCCAAATGGAAGATTTTAAACTTTCTCAGACTCTCGATTTATCCTCTGTGCGCAATGTTTGTCTGGTTCTGCGAATTGTGGCATCTTTTCCTTCAGATCGAAGACTACAGTGACCTGATGGACGTGGCTTTCACCATAACGCTGACGACGGGATTCTTCCAGAGCTTCTTGCTGTATTTTCTGCTCAATTTGCAAAATAAGGACCGGATTCTTGAGATTTTTGAGTACTTTGAAAATTTGCTGGCATCAAAGGATGAATTATTATCCGTTATCAGGACTAAATTCTATGAAAAGCATATGAAAATTGCTCATTACTGCGCGAGGTAAAATTTCATGTGTGATTTTGAAGGAAAATGTTAGAATTTCCACGTATTTTTCAGATATTTCCTAGCAGCTACGCTCTTCTGTTGGTTCTTCGTCGCTGTATTTCTCACATATCTGTCAGGATTCTCCTCACCTCTGCTCTTCACAATACCAGGAATTCCCAAAGAGAGTGTCTTCTTCTATCCAGTCAATCTCATCAGTCAAACTTTCCTTTTTTTATCCGGAAATGAACACGTAATAATCTCAGACGTTATTATAATGATCATGATTGTTTTCTGTCAATCTGAACAAGAGTCCATAGCGAATGCAATATCGATGCTAGACAGCGAAGATGTTGCGAAAAATCAGGGAGAGACAATTCTGAAGACGGCCTTTGAAGCGCACTTGCGCTTAACAGAAGAGGCCAAGGCATTGACGCAGTCTTTCTGGCATATTTACATGATGAAACTTCTAATTATCATGATGTATCTTTGCAGCATGTTTATGACCTTTCAAGACGTCGATAAAGTGTCCTTCGCTGTAATTCTTAGCATTTTCGTGATGACCAGTGAAACATTCATCTTGTGCTTCTTCGGTGAGATGCTCAAGAGCAGTTCTGATCGATTGCCAGACGCGATTTACATGACACGATGGTATGAAATGAAGCTGAAGAGCCAGAAGATAATTCTCATCCTGATGACGAGATTTCAGCATCCGGTCAAAGTGGAAGCTTTCGGTTTTGGTACGATTTCGCTCTACACTTTTGTGCAGGTTTGCATTCTGGGTTAGATTGAAAAGACTGTCATTTCAACTGACAATTTCTTCTAGATCTGCAAAGCTGCGCTTTCTTACGCCGCAGTTCTCTACACTGTGTTCCAGTAACAGAATTATTCAAATGTCTTTCACTTTTCTTAGAAAAGCAGCTTCGCATAAATATCTTCAACTTATTGTCTGATCAAATCTGCACACATTTTATGCTTATTACACCAAATTCAGCAACAATAAAGAATTTTTACATGTGAAAAATTTGTCTTTAACTTGAGAACTGCTTTTTCCAGTCAATTTTGGATTTGGTCTTTAAATGAGACTTTCTATTATTTTATCTTTGTCCTAAGTTTCTTCATAACAAGACAAATTGTGGATATCGAAGCAAGAATTTCATTACGGGAACATATAATGAAAATATAAATAAGAAAGCATTATTTGTAGTCAAAGAAACAATCAAGGATGTGAAATTGGAAAACTGAGCGCAAACAACAGTAAACTGTATAAAATGCAAGTAATAAAAAGAAATCATATCAAGAATTTACCTCCCAATTCATTTTGTCAACATTCCGAGTTGTGCATAAAAATCCCAGGTCAACATGAAGCGAAGCAGAGGGAATGCTTATCATGTTATTTCTTCACTCCTTATTGAATACATAATAAACACGTAATTGCAAGGCGTTCCCAAGTGAAGTTTTCAAACAATTCTATTGCGTCTTGCTTAAACAAACAATCCGTATATAAACAATCTTTAATGAGCAGCACAAATTCAAAACTGTAGAATGTTAGAGTCTTACCAGTTGAGTTTAAGGAAAATTGTCATTTTCTTCTTCTCTGCCTGGAGATTGGATTTCTTGTCAGAATCGAAATGGGAGCTTTTGAACTTTCTCAGACTCTCGATTTATCCTCTGTGCGCAAGTTTTGCGTGGTTTTGCGAATTGTGGCACCTTTTCGTTCAGATTGAAGACTACAGTGATTTAATAGACGTTTCTTTCACCATAACTCTAATCATTGGATTCTATCAAGGCCTAATGATTTATCTACTAATAATGTTGCATCACAAGAATAGAATTCTCGCTATATTTCAGTTCTTTGAAGAAATTCTCGCGTCAGAAGATCTTCTAATGTCCGACATTAGGAAGAAACAGTACGAAAAGAATATGAAAATCGCTCATCTCTGTGCTAAGTAAGAATTTTCAGTGTTGTAATAAAATAAAATGAATATTTTTAATACATTTTCAGATATTTCTTAACCGGAGCATTCCTTAATTGGATATTTATCGTGTCGTTCTGCATTTATCGCTCAGAATATTCTTCACCATTAATGTTTACAATACCAGGAATTTCGAGAGACAATTCCCTTTTCTATCCCGTCAATCTAATCTGTCAAACTGTACTCTTCATAGCTGGATATGAAATAATAATGTTCTCAGACGTTATTATAATGATCATGATTGTCTTGTGCCAATCAGAGCAAGAGAGCATTGCTAAATTAATCCTCACTCTAAACAACGAAGATATTGCAAAGAAGCAAGGTGAAGTCATAGCTAGAAAGATCTACCAAACACACTTGAGTCTCTCTGAACAAGCTAAGGAATTGACAGAGTCTTTCTGGCACATTTACATGCAGAAACTCATCCTCATCATGATGTATCTTTGCAGCATGTTCATGACCTTCCAATCCATCGACAAAGTGCCTTTCGCTGCAGTTTTAAGTGTCATTGTAATGACTTGTGAAACATTCATCTTGTGCTTCTTCGGGGAAATGCTTAGCAATAGTTCTGATCGTATGCAAAATGCAATTTACATGACGAAATGGTATGAAATGCGAGTGAAGGAGCAGAAGATAATCCTCATCCTGATGACGAGATTTCATCTGCCGATTAAAGTGGAAACTTTCGGCTTTGGAACGATTTCGCTTTTCACCTTTGTTCAGGTCAGATTTCAAAGCTTAATTTGAAAAATATTCTTGATTTTATCAAGCTGGGATTTACATCATTATCAGTATTTGTGCCAAAAAAAACGAATCTCGCAAAATCAACTCAAATGGGCTGAGGGAGACTAAATATGACGAAACAGGGGGGTCAATTTTTCGTGTCTGTTTGTCGCGATAAACGAGCTTCTAGAGCTTAAACGGGTAAGAGATATTGACTGACGGTTTTCACCAAATCTTAGATGATATTAGTATACGCGAAGTGTGTGCTTATCTACATTTTTACGAGTGCCTTTTTCCTTGCAGATCTGCAAAGCTGCTCTCACTTACGCCGCAGTTCTCTACACTGTGTTTCAGTAGCTACGCTGTTCTTCTACTGCTGCTTAAATTAGTCATCTTGGCTGTATATCACCTTCATTACGTAATGAATACAAATCCAACCGCCTTCACTCTGTCTTGTTCTGTCTCATCCTTCTCTTGATGATATTGTATTAATTCAATTTACGTGAAAATCTCCTCCATGAAATACCATCCATTTCAATTACCATTTCCTTTTGTGCAGTTGGATTTCATCCAGGAGAAATATGAAAATTTGAATTTCACCGTGAATAGGAAACCTCAGCAGTGAAATAAATTCTGCGTAATCATGGCGAAAGTGGGTGGGGAGAGAGAGAGTGAAATCTTATGTGGGAAGGTGGAATTCCATCTCTCGCCCATTCATGGGTGATATCATGACCATTTTGTAGTGCAAACTTCCAGGCGGAATTTCCACCCGTCAGACGTGCGAAATTGTCACACAGCGTCTCGCTTCGAATGTTACCCAGGCATCCATTACCACTTGATCCATTTCTCGAATATCCTTAATGCATCTTTGATTCGGTTTCCATCTCCTGGAGTTTGACATAAACCAACATATTTATGTATCGTTCGTGATCCGGTTACATTATATTGTTGGGCCCCACCGACAATTCACTCACCATTACTGTATCCTCCCGCTTTTATGTAGATATTGCCTGCGTCTGAGGATTTCCTCGGTGGGTGGGCGCAGTGTTTGCTCAAATCTAGCTGACTCGCAATGGAGTCTCTCCCGCTCTCTGGCCAGAAACTACCCGGCGAGCTTCGGCTGCTTGCAGGATTGCTTCTTTATTTATTCATAAAGAACACCATGGAGTCTCTCCTTCCCTGCCAAATGTTAACTCTCGAGTGGAAATGTGCGATGTGAGCTGAGAATGTCGAGGGGCTAACATTGTGCTCAAGCACGATAACTCGAGTGATCTTAAAGCTTTGCTCAATTAGCCTCAGAAGATCTCTTCAAGTCACAACTAGAAGTTATGGCTAAAGACTAAATAAGCATTATTGAAGGTACTAGAAAGATTGATGAGTTTTGAAGGAGAAATTTTTCAATTTCAATAAGATTTGAAAATATACTTAAATCAAAGCGATTTCAAATCAATTCGATTTCAAGTTGATTTAAAAACAAGGGATTTTTCAATGTTTTATCCCAAGCGGAAAAATACTTGTTCCAAGACTAAAACAAATTTCAATTGATACTGAATTGAGCGATCACTCGAGAATTGAGGCTAAAATCAAGGAATGAAAGGTGTTGATAACAGTGTGATTCACCCCTCGGTGTTTTGCATATCCTCGCAATCTCACTTGCTCGCAAGAGCGAAGAACAATCGTTGGACAAACTTTTATTTGCAGTCTCTCAGGCTCTCACGAACAGCCATGATTGACAAACAAACCCAGTCATTGACTCAAATTAATTGGCATCAACAAATTGGGCCCCCGGGAAAAGTTGGCGCCTCGGGAGCCCTTGCGAGGCTTGCAATTATCCTATGGCATTCTTTTGACGGCACATTTCTGTGTTGGCCCCAAAATGTGTGCCGTTTGATCAATATGTTGAGAGGGAAAAAGACACACCATGAATTGCTGTGCATTTTTCCTCGCCATTTCGAATAATTGGATGATTTCTCCGCAGTTGAGTTTTCCGCCATGCGGAAAATTATTGGATAATGCATGGAGATAAATTCGTATTCACGGGATTCGCGCGGGAAATCGCATTTTAGCGAGAGGATGAGCGCAATCGTGACTAGAGTGTTTCTTCTCAAGTTTGGAGCTGAATTTATGTGATATCTCAGCTATGATTAAATCTCCTAGCGAATTCTTATTGCTCCAACACGAAATATACTTCGATGTGTCTGGAAAAACTGTGGGAAAAAAGGACGCGAGATTCCAATGCAAAATCAATACAATATTCACAGAATGAAGAGGAAATAAAAATGTTTGAATTCTTTCTAACATGAATATTCAGTTAGTGTTGGACAACTTTTGCGCGCCATATGTTGGATTTCACGTAAAAATATATTTTATGTACAAATCGCGATGGTCTCTTTCCTGTCACTGTTTTATTTTTTTGGCTGCGAGGCCTTGCGATTTTTTCTTCCTCGCAACTTTCCCAGCCCAGACATGCGGCATTGAGATGCACGCGAACACCATTCATAGGAGAAAAAGCTCCAAGACGAAACGGTGAGATGAATAAAAGCTTCCTGATTAAAAAGTTTAGCGCCAGGGAAAGTTTCGCTGATGCGGTGCAAGAAAATATTTTACAAAGTTCGCGCTCTCCGCATAGAATTTATGCTGAAGGAGGGGAGGGGAGAAAAAAAAACCTCCAAACCACACGAAAATGCGAGAAAGTGAGAAAATTTTCCAATTTATGAGCGGTTTTGCTGCACGGGGAAAAAAGGGACGTGCGCGACTCACAAGATGGAATTTAATTAAGTGATTAATGCCGCCAAGGGACATTTTCATGTACTAAGGCAATAAATTTGTTCGCACCTATCGGAATAATTGCCGTCCGATTGCCGACCAACCCGCTCATTGCTATTCAGGCGGTGAAGCTTAAGAAGTTGAGTGCGAGGTGTAAATAGAAAAATTTCTGCACGACAAATGCGGAGGAAGTGTCGTGTCAAGTGCAAAAAAAACCAACCTTTTGCGGTGCAAAGTAGAGAAGTCAAGGGGCGTGTGATTGCTATAGAAGTGAGAGACTTCAGACAACTCATGCTTGATGATCATTTTGTGCATTTGTTCTCTTGTTGACGTCTCTGTTCTTGCTCATGCAAATGCGCGACGCTTCCCAAATTCCTCATTTAACATTAAATTCATATCTTGTATGATACTTTAGTTGTAATTTCTTTGATTGTTGGTTAAATTAGATCACAAACTCTACCTTGATTTATTTGAATAAAATGAATTGCACTTTGCTCGAATTTTGAGGTTTAATTTCATAACTTTTGAAATCGTGTTTGAAATCCATGAAATTCATTGAAGAGCTTACAAAATGATGTCTGTAAAGTTGTATGACGTTTGCACTGTGACTTATTAATTCTCGGGAATTGAATTACTCCAAAAATTAAATAAATCTTCAAATGTCACTCTCGTCACCTTCTCAATTACAGCAGAATTCAAATGACTGTTGCACAAAACAAAGTTCATCACACTCTCTCACACTCGACAATGGTGCAAATTCCAAAACAGCTGAAGTTTAATTCATTTTGCCATCGTAAAAGAATGCTAAACAACTTGATGGTGAGCACAATAGTTTAGCAATGCTCTCGTCTCGCCACTTTGCAATTTACGGGATTTAATTAAAAGCTGTGTTGAGGATAATTCAGGTGAATTAAAGTGTTTATGCTTTGCCGAGAAAATGATCAGGACAATGGAAATTGGCGACTGTTGTGGAATTGTGCTGTTCTGGCGCCCCGAGACTCTGTGGAAATCCGATTTTCGCCGTGTGTTCGGCGTTGTGAGCAAATATTCATGGTCCTCCGGGGCTCAGGGGTGTCATTCACCCCCTCTTGCCCGCCTGAATATTGCACCAGATGGACGGTGGGCTCTCCGAGCGGGGAAATTTATGGCCGTGCGCCTCTTGCAGCTTTACATGCATCATCCAGGGGAGAAATCCACCCTCGATCGGCTCGAGGAATTCCTGGGGAATTCCTTGGAGTCCTCGCCTATGAATAATCAAGGAAATGTAATGGGGAATTTATTTGAAGGTAATATAAAATCATTTCCTCAGGGTGAATCGCAATTAGAATACTTCCTATGCAACTTCTTTCACTTCGGTATTTTCCATAAATATTGCACATGAACGACTTTGCGTCTCTTGAGGGTGTTTTGCCTTCTTTTCCTCGTGCATTTCCTCTCCGCCTTCTTGCGATTTTATTTGATGCTACATGAAAATTGACTTACATGGCATCATTTCTTCCAGCGAACACGCCGTATAAGTCGATTTTTATTGCCAAACAAGATTCAGCCAATCCTATTTGCAGCGCCAAAGACGAAGAACCGAAATAGGACATTAAGCTTCTTGAAATATTTATCCTAGAAACGAAGGAGGAGAGAGAGAGATTCTTGCCACCCAAATGAGTGCAGTAAATCAGCTGGAGAGGAGTTATGGAAATTGTTATCAGTCAATTGCTGATGGAGAAGAAGTCAGAAGACTCAAGTCTAAACATTGGCAGACACAATGTTCGCCAGACGGAAGAGCAAATAAACAGTGAATGTTGCAATATTGCGCTGGAGTGGCCAAAGAAGCGCCCAAAAGAGATGCGATTATGTAAATTCATGGGCAAATTTATGTGGTTTACAGAGAGAGTATAAAATTTTAAGACGATCAACATAATGTTTATTTTGACTTGAGCACACAAAAGACCATATCGAGTGCGCTATTTGCTCAACGAGCGTCTTTTTGTTGGGATTCACAGATGAAGAAAGGGATGAAGTACACGGGTTAGTACAAATGTGTTTAGTTTCATAATAATGCAGGTATTAGATGTGTCTTGCGAAAATTCAAATTTAACTGCTTATCAGATAATTTTGAATGTAAAATCCTCTGAATTGCAGTCTTTTAGTCAATGCTCTCATCAACTGAGCGATTAATTGAGTCTCTGGCTCAGAATGTCTCTCATCTGCCAATTTCTCAAGTTCATATCGTTGCTGTAATCAATCTGGAGTGTCTGTGAGTCATTTTCACCTCCTCGCATTACTAATTCGCCATCGCAAATGACTCCTAATGGAGTCACAGGGCCTGGGAATGCCGAGCAGCGCCTCGGCAGTGGCATCAATATCTAATGGGGCTGCACCTCGGGTGGCTTTTCGCATTACCGTCTATTTTGGGGGTGTTTCCGAATGGTGCGGAAGTTGTGCGGATGGAAAATTGCTCAGCCACACGGTAATGGATGAATGTGGCACAATGTAGATTGATGAGAGCGCTTCCTTGTGGCCAGGATGAGTTGTCACTTTTCGTGCGGCGGGACGTCTATCCTTGGCTTCGCCAGCGATAAGACATGAGCTGTCATATGGCTTGCCTGATAAATCATCTGCGCCACAAATTGCGATGGGATTGATCCTCATTCACTGGGTCATGGAATGGAATTTTAAATGACACACCATGATAGTTCCACTGTTTCCGCGCCATACAGTTGGGGGAAAATTCAGCTGAAATTCACGCTTTACGAGCATTTTCTAAAGGAAATATTGTGGTAAATTCAAAGGGAAGATAATGCGTCTGAAATCTGGACAATACTTGCAAATTTTCCTGTAAAATCTGTAAATCTTTTAATGCTGTTTGCACGTTGATTTGTCAAATTATATTCAGTCTTTTATTCGATATTTTCGTGTCAATCAACTTAAAACCGTTCTTTGTGGCTAAGTTTTTCAACCATAACCTCAAAATAATGTCAAGAAATCTGGAAGGACTTGATTTATGAGCTTTCGAGGACGAAATTAGTATTTAGGATTGATGAAAATTATCGATTTATAGTTTATGACAGTTTAGGCACATTTTTTAATGAATATTTCACTATCTCAAATGGCTGAAATGCTATTTTTGAGGTTATGTTAGATCTTAGAGCAATTTCTAGTGTTTTCTAACTCTTATTGCACACAAATACTTGATTGTGCCAAAAATTAACATTCTTTCCAACTTAAGCATGCTAGTAATTTACTCAATAGATCTTAAATAACTCACATAACCTAGAAAAATACGTTAATATGATGTTTTCTAACGTAAAACACCCAAGGAAATGCATTGAATTACGCTGATTTTGTTAGAAAAGAAGTATCAACAGTTGCCACAATGAACATTCTCTGAATTGTACACCACTTCTGACCATTATATTCCCCCCTTGGGTGCATCTGAGAATTTCTCTCCATTTTCTCCGCGCAACCATTGTCAGTGAAGCGATGCGAACTGGATGCCGGTGAATAATCCCGACTTCTGCATCCTGTCTCTGAGCGTCTCACAAACACGTCACATGCAAATGCCACCCCACAAACCCTCGTGCTGACGGCAAACGTGACTAAAAAGTGTTTCGCACCAGTTTATTTGCACTGAATGACGATGAAGGCTTTCGCACCCGCCGGGAGCTTGTGCATTAATTTGCAATTAAAGCCTTGCAGACGGTTTTGGGTTCAGCGACCAAGATGTGAAAGAAATGCAGCCGGAATTGTCGCTCTGTCTCGGGCTCGTTAGGCGCCACTCTGCAAGTCGTCGAGGGGGTGGCAAATAGAGACATGGCAGTGGAGTTCGCCAACTGCACTTCCTCACAACTATGAATTTCCACTCGGCACGCATGGGGAATATTTGCCCAGAATGGAGAGCAAATAGATGAGTTAATCATAAAGTTGAATTGGCTTTCGAAAAGTGTGTGGATGTGAATTATGTGCAATTGCAGACTTTCATACTTGCTTATTGGAATGTGTACAGAAGTTAAGTGAAATTAATCCTAGTTTCAATCAAACTTGTGAGTAAATTTTTGGGGTTGCTTGAATGTCAAAGAAGAATGAACTTTGAATGAGTTAAGAATAAACTGAAGAATTGAGTGCGATTTTACAATTTTTTTCACTGAAAAGCATTCGCAGACTTGAAAATTCAGTCTGTTTTGTAGCAATTTCTCGCAGTGTTCCGCGAAGACAGCATAAATATGAGTTCCAGCCTTTCAACGCTGGCTAAAACGTACACATGTTCTCATGGAGGAACCGCAGCACTTCATAGCGCCAAAGCTATTACACAATGTTTAATGAGAATTAATGGTTTCGCACTCGTGAGCGCAAATTTGCCCGAATGTTGAGCACACATTGCGGATGCCTTGGCGGAAAACTTGTACGGAATATCTGTGACTATTTGAACACGGCGGAATTATGGCGTGTTTCGCATGGCAACCAAAATGCTCAGCATGAGCATCTAAATATTTGAAAAATATCTCACAGACATTCCACGCCGCTCAGCCTCCAAATGGTTTCAACGACTTTCCCTACCCTTCGCCCTACATTTTATCCAGGAGAAAATGCAATTTCACTCACTCAAATATCATTTGTGAGCGGAAAATTGCGGAGAGTCATTTCTGGGATTTAGAGGCGGAAATTGCAGTCCACACTTTTCCTTCATTTCCCGGGGGAAACTTAATTGTGAAAGGTGCAGAACGTGACTGCAAATTGAACTTCCAGTGCATGTTGTCTCTTATTTTAAGATATTTCCAAGTGAATCTGCAAACAATAAGTCTTGTCTGTGGGCAAAAGAGGGATCAAATTGTCGATTAGCCATATTCCATCAGGACACTGACAGCCGATCATCTGAAATACAATGGTTGTCGACACTTTTCCCTGATTTGTCATTTCGGACTGTTAATTGAAATACCTTTAAAATCCAAAAGTCATCAAACTTAGCTTAATAAAACTTAACATTTACTCTCAAAGTCCACATGATTTATTTTCATGCCAACAACTGTACATATATTCGCTTAGGAGTGAATTTCGACCCCTTTTTCGGCTCATGATAATTCTTCCAATTCAGTTAATTTGCTGTTTATCCGGACATTGGCGTGACGTGAAATCGATTGATTGATTAGCAAACATTTTGCTCAAGGGCGGCTCTATTTTAATTGCCACCCCCGCCTAAGATTGGCCATCCTCGTCAATTTCCCGTCGGTTGAGGCCGTCTTGGGACGAGCGATGATGATGACGGATAATGACATGAGGTGTCACCCTTTCGCAACCTTCCGTCGCCCCAAACGACGGAGCTTATCTTAATGATACGCAGATTACGGGCAACTTTTCAGTCACGCTCATCAGCGCGTCTGAAAGCTCTCAACACTGATCCTTTTCGCCCTTTTGTGTGCGATTTAATAGTCATTTCATCCATACATTGTGTTCAAGGAAGGTTTAAGCATAAGTTTTGGATGTTTCATCCCACATTTGCAGCGCCTTTTCCACCTTCTCAGCGTCAATCTTGTCCAGGCACTGCTTAAGGACCTTCGCAACAGCACAACCAGTCGTCTGATTAGCTTCCAATCGGCACTTGTTAATCTGTGCATCGGAAATACCATTGATCCTGGGTTTGGTGAAGAACACCACGCGCAGATCCTCATCAACCAGGCGATAGTAGTAGAATCTGCAGTTCAATCGACACAAGTCCTCTTCGTTCTTGCAAAAGTCCGAAGCTTTCTGGTTCACATTCTTCACTTTTCCCTTCTGCAAAAGCCATAAAATTCTCTTCAACATCCAATAAATTGGTGATTTGATTTGAAACTCACGTTCTTATCGAACCAATCCTTCTGCGTTTCTGGAGTCCAGTAGAAGATGAACTTGAGTTCTTTCTTGTTGGCCTTGAGAAAGTCCTTTGTAAGGTCAAAAATATCTTTGCAAGTCCCTCGTGTTATGACCTTTAGCTTATCCAGACCCTTCGGAATCGAAACGCCACGCTTTTGGAACTGAATTTTGACGGCATCAGCATTGAATATCTTTGTCTTTTCATCGTAAACGCCTAAGTAAGTCCACAAGCACTGGACAAAGCAGTAAGTTTCCTCACTTTTTTCAAAGTTTAGATCCTTCCACAAATCGGCGGTCTTAGAAGAAGCTTTCGACTCCTTTATGCACGTATTCAGAGCCCACAGTGTTTGGTCGGCATTTCTAGGGAAGTCGAAAGAATGTGCAACTGTAAGAAAACAAGTCACAAGAACAACAATTCTCACAAAACTAAGCATTGCAGATTCGAGACTAATCAATTCTATATACAAACATCAGTCTTTTATACAGTGTATTTCATAATAACACTTGCTTTGCACAGCTTTCAACCATTTAAAACTCTTGTTTGCACAAGTGATCGTACTCTGGGTAAAGCTTTCGTCTTTAGGCGTAACGTTGAGACACATAGTCCCAAGCTTCCATTGCATTCTGCACTTTCTCGTTGTCAATTTTCTCTAGACATTCCTTGAAGGTTTTGGCGACGTTACAACCAGTCTTCTTGTCAGCTTCTTCTCTGCATTGATTGAATTGCCTATTCGAAATACCATAAATCATGATCTTTTGGAAGAAAATAATCTTATAATCCTCATCGACTAGGCGATAGTAGTAAAATCTGCAATGAAGCCTTTCACACTCATTGCTTTCCTTCTGGCAAAAGCTTGAAGCTTTCTCACCTCTTCCCTTCACTTTTCCCCTCTGGAAGCAAGAACTTAGTTAGTTTCATAGCTAGATTTTATGTATGTCTGTCTTAATCTTACATTTTGACTGTACCAAGTCAAGGATGTCTGATCAGTGAGATAGAAAACGTGTCTGAATTCCGACTTGTACTTCTTCAGGAAGTCTATGGAGAATTTGTAGACTTCCTTGCACGTCTTACCCTTCACTTGACCTTTAAGCGTGTGAAGACTTTTAGGAGAAAGCGACCCTCGGCTTATGAATTGGGTTTCGATGGCGCTTGTATTGAATCTTCTTGTCTTTTCATCGAAGATTCCCAAGTATGTCCATAGACACTGGACAAAGCAGAAAGTTCGCTCATTCTTGGGTAGGGTTAACTCTCTCCATTTCGCCCCTAAACTCCTTGGCGGTCTGGCTTCTCTGAGACAAGATTTAAGAGCCCATCTGGTTTGATCGGCGTTCCGAGGGAATTGCAGTGAGTGCTAAAAAGACAACAAACTACATGAAGATCCATAAACTTACTCAGTTTCACTTAGACTCACTGCGAGTCCTAGAAAGCTAATCACTGCAACGATGATTCTTATTAAATTCTTCATTGCTGTTCGAAGAGACTAATTGTGGAAATTGTGAATCTGAATATTTTATGTAGTGTGATGACAAAGAATTTACTGTTTCCACAAGTGTTTGCACTTAAAGCAATATTAATTTGCTGTTCCGTGCAATTTTTCACCTCTCAAGCTGAGGAAATTGGCATTATATCGACGTTTGCGCGCCACATTCACTGTGTATCAGCTCAATTGCACATCATGAACACCCACTCGGGAGCCCTTCGAGAATATCTGCAAAGTTTGCAACACTCGTGCAGTCATGTTTTGATATTGCTTCATAAACAAATACTTAAAGAGGTTCCCATGTGATATTAGCCTGTGCTCCACTCGCTCGTCCGCCCTCGAGTTGGCCTGCATTTATTAGCTTCCTCGATGGCATCACATTTATGGGCTTCCAGAGATAGGAAAGTGCGGTGCTGCAGCTTTCCAGCCACGGATTCCCGTATCGACACCCACTTTGCGACCTGGTGCAATTCAGTCTGTTCGCACGGCCAAGTGACACACTCAACACGCGAGAGGGTGGATTTCTGCACTTTCAACCCCCTGACATCCAGACGGTGAAAAGTTAATCTCATCATGCGGGACAATTTTGAGTTGGAAAGTTCTTTTATTGATTACCTTGGAGAAATCCAAACATCGCACAAGATTGCTCTGGAATTTTTCAACTGTATTTTGCGGGTAGTTAGAAAGTTAGGCGCTCTGACAAATGTGTATTTTTCTTAAAGCTCTTTTAATGTTCTACAAAATGCCAAACTTTAAAGAACATTGAATGACATGAGCTCGAATAATTCATCTTTGCATTCTCCCTTGATTTAAAGTGCAGACAAGTCTTTGTAGTTCTTCCACAATTCCGCTGAATCTCTAAGCTCCTTGGCATCTTAAAGTCTTGCCAAGTAGACAAATAACAGAGCGCGAGGCCGAATGACGGCACAAATGTTGCAAGGATTGCAAGACAAAGACGTTCCCATTCGCCTGAATAAACCTTGCATGAGGGGCGATAGGGAGATATTTGGATGATTCGATATTCGCAGCGGGGAAAAAAGGCGGAAGACGGATGGGAACAACAAAGGGGAACGCCATCAGTGATGAGCTCGGCAAGTCTATGTAACCGGATCACGAACACAACATAAATATGTGGTGTTCCATCAAAATTTCTCCTCTCTCATGAGATGGCATACATAGACATTGCATTAGTGATGAGGATGAATTTGTGCACATTTTCTCGGCGACCATAAATGGATTGTATTGTTTAAAAGATGAAATATCGCCCTCGCATGATGAATGAGGCGGACAAGGGATGTGCCGAGGGGGTGGCAAATAGACAAAAATCCATTGTTCACTTCGCCTGTCGGTTTTGTGCAATATTTCCTCATTTAATCAACAGTCGGCGCCTCAAATTGATGCCCGTAAGCTGGAAGTTCAATTGAAAAGTTGTGTGGAATCACTTTGAGGCGCATACAATTCGGGGTAATTAACATTGAGGCGCACTCGAGGCTGATGAAATATTCATTTGCAAGTTGCATAGGAAGTTTTGTGTCTACACAATAAGTCCATTCTTCATGTGGATGTTTTGCCAGGGAGTTTTGCATTGATATAAATTGGAAAATCTCACATGATATCGGAGCTCTGAGGGCTCTGAACATGAACCTGCACTCGCCATATATTTCACCTCCTATTTGGACAGCTGCACTAAAGCTGAGCTAAACAAGGGGTGGTTTGTTTAGCATATAAAATATTCAACTGAGCCCGAGGGAGCGGCGTTGGGCCGCAATAATGCATTTCATCTAAACTTGTACACCTCAGCAAATTCAATTGCTTTCGCTACACAAGTAAATCTCGACGATTAAGTCTTGAATTTCACATCACGAGTAGCCAAAAATATCTTCCGACATTGGTGAATTTATGGAAAATTAAACCATATGTTTATTATCCAAATATTTGCTCAGTACAACAAGAGACAATTGAATTGCTTGTACGCTCATCTCATTGGCATTAATTGTAGACTCACACACACACTTTGTGTCACTCTCAATGCATTCAATTGGACACCAATAAGACTAAAATGTCTATCTCCCCCTTGTTTGGACGCCGCGATGAATTTTAAAGAGAATTCTTCGGGCATTTTTCAGCCTGACAACTCAATTTGGTCGATTGGAATGCTGTGCGATGAAAAGGGGAAGACAAATGGCGAGCTTGGGGGAAGAATCGTGAAGAAGAGTGAATTTGAGAGTGCACTTCGAGCTGGAGAGCAAAGCTTCGGCCGCAAGTTGATGAATGTGGGAATGAGAGGTCGTCTGTGGCCGCGGCTCATCAATTGCCGTGACACACTTCCAGTGCTGTCGCGCTAATTATTCACACACGTTCTCCGCTCAGGTGAACTCGAGGGATCTATTTCGGGGCACAGACTTTGCGTATCAATTATGTCCCAAATTTCACTTGCCAAATAATCGACATCGCACACCCGATTAAATCCTCCGGAGCCACTGACTTGCTCAGCGTAATGAAGCTCTCCCCGTCGCGCAATAATAACTCACGTCGTGCGCCTCCCTCTCCCAAAAACCACCCCCAGCATAATATACATGAGGGCTGCATTAATGCTGGGGATGTTGCAGTGTTAATGCTCGCGGTGGAAATCGGCGAATTGGCGTGATTTACGGCAGCTTCCACACCATTTTTCCACGGTCACCATTATTTCATTTCCGATTCATATTATTCATACGCCTTTCATGCGCTCGCGCCTCAGTGCAGATGACACAGCATCCAGTGATAGTATTCATCACGCCCAGATAAATTTGTGTTTTATCTACGTGTTATGTGGTGACAAAACTCCCCAAACTACGCTCCATCGTGCAATCAGTCTTTTTGCTCGGCACGACGTCAAATGAGCGCCATAAATCCAGAGTCAGCTCTTTTTTTGCCGCTCCAATTATTGCGAAATCATCATTCTCCATAATATAAATGTACGTAAAATCAATGGAGAAATCAAGTGATTTCTGTATACTGAATATTTTCAGTTGAATAATTGCGCATAATTTGAAACTTCATTAGAAAAGCGAATATTTCATTTTGGCAAATTATGGAATTTATTTAGAGTTTGAAAATAATATATATCGACGGGTGAATGGAAAACTATGAAAAGTCGATTTATCATAGTTTACGTCTTATGAATTTTTGAAAAGCTTTTTATTTGTTCTTTCTGTACAAGAATTTTAAGATTTGTATCTTATGAGACAATAGAAAAAAATCTTATTCATCTAAAAAAGCACAAATGGAAAAAATTGTCATGTTTTGCGAATGAAAAGTCGATTTTTCATTGTTTACGCTGAACAATTTTTCCCCAAGAAAAATGTCTCAAAAATTGCAGTGAAACGTATAAAACACCTTTTCAGAACATAATTATAGATGTTCAGAATTATTCTAAAATGTTTTTCAAGACTTTAAATGAATATTTCTCATATCTTTTAAATTTTTTCACTTGAAAACATTAAGGAAAAGTTCAAGTAAAGTATGAAAAGTTGGTTTTTAGAGCTTGTTTGGATAAAATCGATTCGAAGACTTGAAAATGCTCTGCTGAGAAATTGCATTTTTGGCTTTTCATAGTTTTCGAGGCTCCCGTCGATATATTTGTCAGAGCACTTGAAATGCAGCTGAATATGCAGACAAAAATACTGGAGTGCATATTTCTAAAAAACAAACTTCTCATAAATAATTTATTTCTAAAAACTATAACATTTCCAAAAATTTGTCTCTTGTCTATAAAAACACAATCTATTTGTGATCCAGAACTTCATAAGATATGATTTTAATAATACTGTGCTCTGTTAGATCTCAATATCTGTTCTAACACTGAATTGCTCATCACACGCTCATTTTTTAAGAGTTTCCTTTGATGTTCTGGTATCGGTCAACAGATGTTCCTATCTGTGCTGGTTTTGGATGTTTCGGCAATTGAAATTTATTGCCACTTGCATGAATAATTAATCGCGCTCTCGGAAATTAATCCACCGCGACAATTCGATGGGCAAATAAGTGAGAAAAGAGAGTCACAGCATTTGCGGCTGAGTGTTGATTGTGCGTCCCTTTGCCAATGAATCCTCTCGAAAATATGGGGGCAGAAAACCATAACATTTTCCCTCTCGATGGCATATAATTTCTGGTTCGGCTCCGGTGGCTTCGACAGCGCGAACAGATGTTCAATGGAGAGCGATGCATTGGTAATTGGACAACACTGGTCGCAATTTATGAAATGGGTCGCCATAAACTCCTCTCAGCCACTTTTCCAATCTATGAATTAATTAATTAGTCAAATTACTGTGCGCCTCTCCAGGCAATCATGAATATTTTCACACTGGATGCCATTATGGCTTTATTGGGGAAAAAAACAGTCGCCATAATGCACATTTCATCCCGCGACAGATGCGAAATCGTCACAATCTCGATTTCGGGGCGAAATGTGACTGGATCTGACGCAAATCTGTCGAGTTATTTATCCTCACTCTGCAATCCCACAATCCCAAAACTATCAATTTGCATTCTCTGCAGCGGGGATTTCCCGCTTGTCGTGCAGCAAATCCGAGAAGCTGCGCGTCTTGCGACTAATCACGCAACAATTGAGATTAATACGCACACGAGATTTCCAGCATCAAAATGCAATCTGTATCGCAACCCTCAGATTGATCGATTATCGCTGAGGTTCTTTGATCATCGCTTTCTGCTTCTCACCCTCTGCATTTGGAGGGTGTTTTATTTAGTTGTGCCAACAAGGGACTAAGAGTGCACTCTCAGATGGAGAGAAAAGATAGTGCATTAGAAAGATTGTTATGCTTGCACGATGATTTACAGTGGTGTTCCGAAGAATAGAGTCAGTTTTAAGCTGAAGTTGAATTTTGGCGATAAATTCTGAAGTTCCTCAAGAAGTTTGATAATTTCTCGGGTCATTGAAGAACTGAAAATCATCTGCAAAGGCTAATTAATGACTTCAACCCTGTTTCAGGTCGAATTCTTACCTATT